AGTTATGAGTGAATAGATAGACACAGTAGGCATGTTTGCTGGTATTGCCTGATTGTAGCAGGGCTATTTGACAGAGTGGGTAAATTTCATTTGGAACTGTATTCTCTGATGACAGCCAGAACTCTTTTTTCAGATTAACCACTTTCTTGGCCTCATTCACCATAGCAAAATCCATGGCCATCTTCTTCCCTTTAGTCTTCCTCAGTTTCTTGGTTTGCTTGGGGGTGAAGGAGCATGAAAATGACTTTCTGACATGTTAACATTGGACAGCTAAGAATATGGAGGAATTTTTACAGTATATCTTTACTCTTTTTTTTAGATGAGTTATATGGCAATATAATTTCTGTACTTATGTTTTTCCTTCTATCCTTATATTCAACCTTATTTGTCCAGTGATCATTACATTCTTTTCCTCCCTGTTTTTTGGCAGTAGTGAGAATAGAACTCAGTATTGACCTTCCTTTTATCTGTGTGCCCAGCCATGTTTATTATTTATTTTGCAGTATGGTCTTGCTAGGTTGCCAAGGCTGACTTCAAATTGTGATACTTCTCAGTGGTACTTCTCACTGGGATTAGAGACGTGTGCCACCATGTCCTATTTCTTTATTTTCATTTTGAAACAAGGTCTTACTAATTTATCAAGGCTAGCTAAAATTTGCAATCCTGCCTCAACTTTCCAAGTAGCTGGGATTATAGGCCTGCACAGCTGTGCCCAGTTTAATCCTCATTTTTTATATGACGGTGAGGCAGAAGCATTCTTAATAAAGTTAACTGTAACCTAAAGTTCTAAATAAAGAGCTTATTTTATATTTTAAAATATTTGATTTATGGGAATGTGTACATATTCCATAATATTTTTGTTCAGAATTATTCTAGTGTTTTCCAGAGATGTTATGTAATGTTAGTATTTTCCAGAGATTTTATGTAATAATTTTAAAGTCAGAAGGTAAATAAGTAATTTGAAGTTATTTGTGGCCAGGATGATTGGATCACTGGTAGTAAGGAAGTTTAGTTCAGCCAAATATTTAGGGTCTGTAATTCTGAGCTGTACTGAACTCTGCCCATTGATCTGATGTATGTGTGTTCAATGAAAGGAATTCAGAAATGATAGATTGTTTCTTAGGGTGACTGGTTCAATTCCAGAATGGAGGGATTAATTGATGGATGCAAGAATGAATGTATAGATGTATGGTCTGGTTGGAAGATTGATGGAATCACAAATAGTTGAGAACAAGTGGCTCTATGTCAATTGTAGGTTGGATACAGAAATGTATTTTGGATGTTGTTAAGAAAGAAGAAAAACTATGAATATATAAGTATTTTATGTATATAAGGTTGATGCATGAGTAGAAGAGGAAATAGGGATAAATATTGATATAATTGGCAATTTGATATATACTATGTAAAATGAAAAACAAATTTATAAAAATATTGATGAATATCTGAAAGAATATATGAATAAGTCAAATCAGGAAAGTAAAGATTTTAAGTTTCTGCTAGGAGTTTATGGTCATGGCAGTCACTCATGTGTTGTCACAAAGATAGTATTTATTGCTGGTTCCATCACAATATAAGGTTTTATGGTTCATTACGTCAGTGGGACGTTGTGGAAAGTCAAGTCAGATAGTTGGTGTATAAATCAATCACATGAGCACCCTAAAGTTTAGGGAATTTGGAAAATGTGTTTTTTCATGTTCATGAAAGGAAAATATAAAGAACCTATTGTCAATAATAATAATTATTATTAAAATATTATGTAAATGAGGTAATAGATATCAATTAGCTTGAATTAGACATACCACATTATATACATGTCAAACATAATTATATACCCCATAAATATTTATAAGTAATGACATGTTGTTGTTATTTTTTTTTTAAATTTGAATCTCTTTGTCAGGTGATTTGCAGTAATCTGTACCTCAGGTCTCAGTGTACCTACTCTTGACCCAGAGGAATATATCTTAAAGGAAAATAATCTGCATCTTACTTCCTAATGTACAGTGGTGGAGGAGAATCAGGGGAACCATAATAAACTCCAACCATTAAAGTTTTATAAGGTATCAAATAATCACTTCATGGGAATTTTGCATTACCCTGAGCACCCCTGCTGTGCCTTTGATAAAATTTGTAAGATGCTTCTTGTTCTCCCTGGCTCTGCTTTTGTCCTTGGGGACATTTTACAGTTCATCTCATTTTTCTTAATTAAAAGGCTATTTTAATTATTTTCTTAATTAAAAAGATATTTTCAATGTATATATCTTCCAGGGGAACCAATGAACTTTTGTGTGTTCATGAGAGTTGAACCTAGGGCTGGGGTTGTGGCTCAGTGGTGAAACACTTGCCTAGCATGTGCAAGGCACTGGTTTTGATCCTCAGGACCACATAAAAATAAATAAATAAAATAAAGGTTTTGTGTCTATCTACAACTAAAAAATATTTTTAAAAGAATTAAACCTAAAATATCATTTTGTCTTAAAACCATCTCAGGTTTTAAGTCTTTTTGGCAGTATAACTTAGTCATAAATGTACAGTGGTAGCCAGGGATGTAGTTCAGTGTAATTGTATTACAAAGCAAAACAAACAAATACCAAAATATGCAATAGGTGTTATGCACAAAGTCTTTATTAGCTCTTATGTGATTCTTAGTCTCTTATCTGTGTTGAGTATAGAACCATGTGTAGAGGTAAAGGTGCCAGAAAAGATGAAAGTCTCAGAATAGTGAAATTTTATATTTATATAAAATATAAATATGGAGTGGTGGTGCCTTTGATAGCCATTGGAGCAGACCCACAAGAAACTTTTCATGATTGAAATGTGAAAGTTTTTTATGTTAAGCCTGTCAGAAGTTGAAGTTGCTATAAATATAGATAGAAATTGGCATGCAAAAATAAAAGATTAATGTATATAATAAAGGAAGTGATGGTTTTGAGCTTGATTGCAGGAACGGACGAAAAAAAGTGTGGATTGGTGCAAGGAAGAATGAAACTGATAGTGAAATTTTCTGTTTACTATATATTTATATTAGTGTAATAAGGGATATAAGATTGGATATTCAGAATGAAGTTTGAAAAGATTAATGTTAAACTATTTAATGGAATTTAGGAGATAATAATGGACTTAATAAATGCAAAGTTGTTGGATGCCATTTGCTAAGGATGGATAAAAACATACTAGTATGTGAATGGATAAAGGAATAAATAAAAATTTGAAAAAATGTTGAATGTATTTATATATGTATGCATCATTGTAGTCCTTACTCAATGAAGATATGGTGGTTAAAAGCCTAGATATTAGAATTGCATTGGATTAAAAATTAAATATTGTATGGATGGATCAAGTAGAGATGTGGATCTTTATGTAATGGATAAAAGTAAGCTCACTACGATAATGGATAAATGTGGAGATCCTCACATAGATAAATTGTTTGTATGATTATGATGGCTGTATTATTGGTGCTTTATAGTGGCTTGATAAATACAATTATGCATCAATAAGTTGATCCAAAAGAAGATATAGAAATTTGGTCAATATAAGAATAGACAGATAAAATAAGTCACATGTATAATAAAAGTAAAGATGGTCAGTTGCAGGATGAGGTGTATTGTCATAGGCTAATTCATTATTAATAAATCAGGAAAGTTTTGTGTTTGTATTATCGAAGTGTTGTGCTGGTAAAAAACAGGTAAATGAAAAACTTCTGCAGGGAATTCACCAAGTAGTTTTTTCTAGTCAAAATGATTCTTTTATATTTTAGTAATTTGGGGGGAGTTGATGAATATACCAACTTTACCTTCTGTATAGATGTATATATATTGATGGATATCTTCACCTTCTGTTTATATGTTGTGTCCATGGTGTGTCACAAATTTTCCATATTTTCTAGTTTTTATTGAAATGTTACCAGTTTATTATTATTATTTATTTATTTCAAACATGACAATAGTGGAATGCATTGCATTAGTAATTATCCATTCACAGCACAATTTTTCATAACTCTGAATATAAAGTATGTTCACGGCAAATTATGCCATTATACATGAGCTCTCTTACTCATTTTTTTTGCATTACAATTCTTAATACACCTTTATACCACAATTTATCATATCTCTGTTTGTACATGAGGTATGTTGACACCAAATTCACATCTTCATACATGTATTTTTATAATGATGACCACCTCCTTCCACCATCCTTGCTATTCCCCAGTTTTAAGGAAGATCTTTTAGATGCTTGACTGCCTAACATGTCCATATCAGTTCAAATCATTGTACTTTTGTTTTGTTTTGTTTTTGTGGAATTTATTCTTCAAAGCTACTGACAAAATCAGTAACTATGGTGTACTCTTTTTCTGCTCATATTGATATTAGATTAATTTGGTATGTAATATTTTAAAATCAAATACATTGCATGTGCATTTCATGAAAGATACCATATTGTCAGATTGTGGAGTGATTATCTGATGGAAAAGAGATGAGTACTTGATGATGTTATCTACTTGTCATGAGGTCCATAAATTAAATGAAGTTTTTGCATGTATATCATGATATATTTATCTACTCTCACCATAAAATGTCAAGTCATCTGAACAGAATATAAGTTCTTTTTGTCTGTATACATGCTATACGTTTTAATTTATCTGAGAGTCAATAAATGTTTTGAAATATATCAGTAGCGGATAGGTAGAGGGAAACAAGGAAATCAGGCTGGTCAGGGAAAAAAAGGGATATAGAAAATATCAGAAATAAACAGCCATAGGTATTAGCATCTGCTGCAAATAACATGGGTTGTAATGACAGCAGCAGGTTGAATTTTATTTTTGGCTGCATGACTTAGAATACTGCTAATATTATTAGCAGATGGTAAGTTGAGCACACAGAAGTCCAGGAATATGTCCATATTAGGATGATGAAAGTAGGTTTTTAAACACTTTCACTTGAAGAGTGAATGAAGACTATTTAAATAATTTCAAACAATACTATTTTTTTTTCTTTCATAAGCCTCTTTCACAAGCAAGGACCCAAAAGAGCTTCCCTTAAGGTAAGAGCATTAAGGCCTGTATTATGATTTTTAGTGTGTATTAGTTTTCATCATGTTGATATAGATTAGATTAGATTTTTGTTCACTGAATTTTTCTTTTTCATCAAATCTACATTGTTGCTATGCTATGATTTTAGGATATATTTTAATCAATGATTTTAGTTATCTCTGGTTATTATAGTATATTTAATGAAATAGACAATTGAAATACTAGGGGGCTTTCTTACCTTTATTACCACCAGAAGTTGCATAAGAAGTACACAGGAAAGGAAAGGGAATGGATAATTGAATGTTTTGACAATGGAGTTTGGTTTGGGGAGCAATTTCCATGAAATCTTATGGAGTACATAGTATGTTGTTATTTCTTTGTACAGTGGCTTTTTAAAGCCTCCACTACAATATACATTAATTTTAAGAAGCTATACAGGAAATGGTCATTCAAAGAATGATAGGAGTTTAGATGTCATAAAAATAATTTGGGATACAATTTGAGTACTCAAATTACAACAAATGGACAGAGGAGGTTAAATGACCATTTCATCATTTTCATCAATTAAGTGTTTTGTTGCTTGGAGATAATGTAGTATTAGGATTTGTGGGAGTTATTTTCATGGAGTGGGATTAACTACTTGATGATGATATCTACCTGTCATGAGGCAAGATTGTGTGATAACTTGTTATTTCCATTTGGAATCTCCTGTACTCTTAGGTGGTGACTGTGTGGATTATTAAAACATATGTCCCTTCTGCAGTGGTTCCATTCACACCATCACCCAAATACTGCCATTATTTCTCCTTTCTGGGATCTTACTCCATCTTTATATCTCACAACTTTGATAGAAGTATGCACAGGAATAGAAGGGACCTGCTTTTTACTAAGTAATTTCCTGAAATATTAAGTCTCTCTGCTCTCAGTGTATTTGTGCTTCCCTCTAATGTTGTGTATTATTCATTGTGTTTTTATTCATATTTTACTTTATAAATAGAAGAGACATTTGTGTGTGGGAAGTGTAATTAGGGCAACAGCATGGTTGCTTCACATAGTAGCTTGACTTTCTTACTACCTGAGTGTCTTGTCTGTGCCTATTTTGTTTCCATTGGTAAGATATATTCTTACTCATTTGAATCAAAGTTCTGCAGTTTTTAGGCATGTCCTAAACAAAATCTTCTTAAACACTTGTGTTATCTGGACTAAGCCCCCTAGTTACATTTTTTTGTTGAATCTAGTAGTCTCATTCTGGGTCAGAATTAGAATTTGAGACTGATTGCACTTCACCACTTCTCCAGTGGTCAAATCTAAGATGTGAATGCCAAAACAACTGTTACAATACAAGGGAATACTAGATGCCTGAACTGATATTTTGAACCATGTTGTAATGCTATCTTGTAGAATATGTGATTCCATCATTTAACTGATATAGCTAATATTCTCTTCTTTGTATTTCAAGTAAAAAAACATTATTGTCTTTATTTTCATTTGTTTTCTGCTTCACCTAAGGGAGGCCGATGTAAAATACAGATTATTTGAAATATTAATTATCTGCTTCTGGAACAAATGGTACTGTTCATCAGGAGCTATTAACTGTATTGCTCAACCTGTCTTAATAAATAGGTATATACCATGGGGTATCCAATAATATTTTCTCTGTATGCCAGTATTAGCAGTAAAAAATGTTCCTAGAATTTTAAGACTTTGTGATAATCCCTTTCTTTCAAGCTCTACTAAATTTTTCAACAGAGGATTTAATATGTTAAAAATCTCAACAATATATATTGTCATCTATATCTCCATTCTTATTATATTATTCTTTTAGTTTTCTTATGAAGTTTGACTAATTTTCTTTTACAATACTCATTTATTTTACAAGATGAGAAGTTCCTTTTTTTATTTCCAAAGTTAAATTAATCTATCTGAAATTATTACAAATTCAGAATGGTCTCCTTAATATAAGGTCAGTATTCTAATCATACAACTTTATTTTACATGAATCAAAATATGTACCCAGTCAAAAAATACCTAACAATCTGGTATTTTTATTCTATTTTAGGGACTGGCAAAATTGTAATGGAACAGAATTGATAAATCCTACAGTTTGTTGCAAATATACAACTCTGCCACTAATGTGAAAGCAGCTATGACTGATTCAAATGGATATTACTGCATTCTAATAAAATGTACTTACAAAGAATAGGTGGTGGGCCAGATTTCTACTACAGGCTATATCTTGCTGTCCCCTGCCCAAAGCATAGGTTTAATTTTATTGTAAAGGTAGGAAGATACAGAAACCAGAAGGAATATTATCTCTTTGCATGTCAGTTTTCTGAAATCTCAACTTTATGAAATGTGAAATTTAAAAATGGGAGAGATAAACATTTTATGTTTTTATTGGGGGATTGTAGTTATATGTAATTTTGGGGTTCATTTTGGTATAACATGCATGAGTGGAATATGGCTCTACTTTAGCTCTAAAGCTAAGTTGAATGTTATCTATTTTTCTTAGCCTCCTTTGCCCTTAAACTTGTAGTACATTGAAATGTGGCCACCAAGAATGAATATCATTCAATAATATGTAGCAGTAAGGGATCATCATCTTTCATCTTACAACCCTATTTCTCAGTTTTCATAAGAATTAACCATTTGTGGCATACAAAGTAGTCAATAACTTTTCTAAGCTTTTGTAAGCTTATGTGTAATTTATTCTCAATTTATTTATAAATGTGTGATCATTGTGGTAATATGTTATTTTGTAATTTTCTGTTTATCATGGATATGTTCCTAAATCAATAAATGGTTCACCTACAGACCTTTTATTGGATGCTAAGTACATAGGACAATGGATTTATCTGTTTCTCTATTTTGAGAAATATAGGTTAACAGTTTTAAATTCTTATTTTTGGTACTACATACAATGCAGTAATGTACATAAATAACATATATTCTAATGTGTCTGACTCCTAATTTTATAAAATATATTTCTAGGTGTGGCATTGTTGGATCATCAATTGTGTATGCTTTTGGTTTCAGTAGGTATTGTGAAATTGACTTTCAAAATGCTTTTTGGGGCACCACAGACCAGTGTGTAATATCAGGGCTAATTTTCACAGAACCTTGTGTTTGATCCAGTATTAACAACCATTAAATTTTAGTCAATTTTATAGATGAAGTAATGTTTTTATAATATACCTAATTTAAATGGTGGCCATGGATTTAAAGACTTAATGTATATTCGTGGTTTATAATAAAAACAGTACTCTACCTCTCCTCTAAGCCCAAGAAATAACCTGATTGTTGGAGCTAGAATACATTAAACTTTTCTATATTTGCCATTTCTTGGAGATTCATAAACTTCATAAGTATAGCATGTCATTGTTTATTTTAACTTTTTATTTTAAAAATAATCTTAGATTTAGTGTTGAAAGAATCATATAGAGAAACGTTATACACTTCTTCCAGATTGACATTTTTTTCCTGCATTGTTCTCCTTCTTCCTCTTCCTAACTTCGTCCTTCCCTTTCCCTTCCCATCTTCTCTCCCCTCTTCTATGTGTGTATATTCATAGTGTTGATATTTTTTAAAAGTATATATTAGTTGCAGACATTATGTTCTTTTTGCCCTGAACTCAGAATTTTCTAAGAGCATAAGTATTTTCTTAACTGTTAACTTTTTAAACATTATATACAGTCCATATTTTCGTTTTACCAGATGTTTTTGTCATTTTTTCACAGAGTTTTCCCCATTACTGAGATTCAGAAAAGAATCCTGTATGGTATTCATATGTTTTATCTCCTTAGTCATCTTTAATTAAAGTCTTTCATCAACTATAATAGCATTTTTTATTGTAAAACAATGTTTTATAGGTTTTAAGAAAATTTCCTAAAATTTGGAAATTTCCTCATGAAAAGGTTTAGATTATACATTTTGTGAAAGAACATTTCAGAATTTACTCAGTGTATCATCAGAAGTGAAAACTGACACTTTGTCCCATTATTGGTAAAGTTAACTTTAATCATTTGGTTTAATTAGAGGCCCCTAGCCTTCTCCATCTTTAAATTTATTCGTTTGTCATACACATTGTATAGGAAGATATTGAAACTATCTAAATATTCTGTTAAGCATCAAATTTTTAAATTAAAATGTTAGTACTCTGAACTTTTCATGAATTGAAGTTTTTCTTGTTGTTGTTTTTGTATTCAACCATAAGGAAAAGTTTGTATCTCCTGGCTTATCAGAAATATTCAACAATGTTTTTAATAAAAAATGGTTAACAAAAAAATAAGGGAGCGATATTCAGTATGAGTGCCATGGATTTCATTTAGAGTCAAATGAGTTTATGTCAAAATTTTGGCATGGAATGTGAGTGACATGCAGAAGTCCAGAGTTAGGTGTTAACATACATGGTTACATGGTAGAGGGGAATAACAGGTTCTTAAAAATAAATTTCAGACAGGGAATGCAGCATGCCTTTGTTATTGCAGGGTATTCAGTAATCTGGAACACATTATAAGCCATGGTAGTGGTGTCTAGGTCCAAATTCACTCTATAGCTATATTCTGTATAGGTGATAAATCAACAGTGTTACTTCTGTTTTTGTTTTTGTCACTTTAAATTTCTTTAACCCTGTAGAACATTCAAGAGTAATAGTGAAGGGCCTGCATCCAGGAGCTATCTAAAGATAAACACTTATCTTTCTTAGCCTTTTTCATGTTCCTCTTATGCTCTGTGACTGTGATGCAGTGGCTATGTTGGTTAAAACCCATACATTCCCATAATTTGTTCTGTGTTCTCTATAACTACACAGCAGCAGTCAACTAAAAATGCTAACTAAAGAAGGTTTCCATAATTAAGATATTCTTCATTTTGATTAGTGATTTAATTGGATTAATTTAAGTTGTCTTAATCATTCTTATTATGTGTGTTTCAAAATTTGTTTTATTGTATAAAAGTATAGGTCATCTAGTATTAATGGAATGCCATTATCATTTTATAAATTTTGAATCCA